TAAGAATGTGCTCTTACTTAGGAACCTCTCATTTAGATCTCCCACGGGTGGCCCGGCCTGATACCTTATTAAGGCGTTTTATTTCACATTCCAAATGCTCCTTCTTCTTGTTTTCAAGAGCATTTTTTTCTTTCAAAAGCTTATTCTCTTTCTTCAATTCATGTAATTCTTCATTTAGGCTTTCTTTTTCCTTCTGAGGTAAAAAGCAAGAAAACAAAGTCAAATTCAAATGTCAATGGAGATGATATTGTAGAAATCCTGACACATCAGCTGCTGTGGCAGATTGAAAGGGTCACCCTTTTGAAATAAAGTAATAACAGGACCTGCCAGATTTTTCACTTAACGTTCCGTTTGAGCAATATTCTTTGGGTGGACAGGTTTCAGTATTGAAGAAATTTTTCTTTTTTCCAAGCCTAGTGGAGTACCTTAGAAGTTTGGTAGGAAAAAAAAAAAATCAAGATCCCCAATTTTTACTTTCAAAGGTCAAATAAATGGGTCTGTAGAATAAACAGGTTCCCATATACTGTCACTGAGTGATGGATAAGTGAATCAGAAAAGTAGTTGAAAATCTTAAATAGAAAAAACTTATTACAACAAGACAATACTAAATATCTCAAAGCTCAGTTCTCCACCATTCTGTACTAGAGAAAGGGAAGAGAGGACAATTTTTAGACCAACAAGACCTTTCACTAAAGATAATTATTCAGAGCACTACATTGCTACGATTATTATTTTTAAAAAGTAGGAATCAGGGGTGGCGCCCGTGGCTCAAAGGAGTAGGGCGCCAGCCACATATGCCAAAGGTGGTGGGTTCAAAACCAGCCCTGGCCAAAAACTGCAAAAAAAAAAAAAGTAGGTATCAACGAGGTCAATTGCTACCTGCCACTCTTCTATTTTTTTGATCATCATTTAAAATTTTCAGTGCTAATGGTTCAGTGCTTAGACACTCACTCACAGGCTCTGTATTCAGACAATATGTCCTCTATCTCTTAGTTGTATATATCAGATAGCAAAACTTTTGTGAAGTAAATTGGATTCTTCATGAGATTGAGATTTAACCAGGTACAGATAAATACTGTAGAATTTTGGTAACTCAAGATGAGAAAATAGTTAATACATGTGCTAGAGCATGTGATTTTAGTAAGTAATATTTCCTAAACAACTATTACATTTTAAAAATCCACTTTAGGTAATTCATTTTCTTTAAATGTGAAAACACTTTTATTTGCTTTTAGTTAAGTAGAGTGGACCTGTATACTCAGACAATGAGCCAGTCATTTTTTAAATTTAGCATCATTTAAGAGAAAATTATTCCAACTAGAAAATGGTCCCAACTGCAGAAGGGGAAAATTACAAAGATTCCTGGTTAGGGTCTATTTGGAAAAGAAAATGACTACTGCATGGCAGAAAGGGAGTTGCCAAAATCTGTTTTCCTGTTTTCCTGTTTTGTCTCACTGAGACAAATACATCATCAGTAAGGTAGGACAACCTGGACTGGAGTGGTCAATGCTGATTTTAAATACTGCCTTAGGGATCCTTCATGTTCTAAAATATTGCCAATGCCCTATAATATCAGTGATAAGGTTTCACCCGAGAAAATTTATACCTTTGTTTTTCCTTACTGTCCTTGGAAGCCACTGGAATTTAAGGTTTCCTCCCATTTTCTACAATATTCATGAAGTCCAATAATTTAAAATAAAACCAGGAAGAAAAATAGCCTATTTTATGAGAAACTGTCATCTTAATGGTTATTACCCAGTTCTCTGCTGGGACTAATGGAGCCTTCGAATCTGGAAACTGGGTCCAAGTCCCATTTTCTAACATACGACATTATGAACCCTGGCAATTCAACCTCCTTACATCCCAGCTTGTTCATCTTTAATATGGCAAAGTAATTTTTCTCACAAGTGGGAAATGAATGGCGGAAATAACATTCATTTCAAAAATGTTATTGGCTGGGCGCGGTGGCTGATGCCTGTAATCATGTACTTGGGAGGCCCAGGCGGGTGGATCACCTGAGCTCACAGGTTCAAGACCACCCTGAGCCAGAGTGAGATCCCATCTCAAAACATAGCCGAGCGTTGTGGCAGGCACCTGTAGTCCCAGCTACTTGGGAGGCTGAGGTAGGAGAATCGTTTAAGCCCAAGAGTTTGAGGTTGCTGTGAACCATGATGCCACGGCACTCTACCGCGGGTGACAAAGTGAGACTCTGTCTCAGAAAAAAAAAAAAAAGTTATTATCTTAATGATCTCAAGCGTAATACCTATTTGTAAAGCTCTCTGTAAGCTATATGGTACAAATACAAGAGATTGCCATATTATTAACACTAGTAATAAAAACACTACATACGAATAAAAACAAAAATAACATATCAGCAAATCTGCAGCTCAGTCCCCTCTTTCCTGGTAGGGCTGACAAATGACCAGCCGCCTATTTGGGCAACAGGAGGAAGCGAGCAGGGCATGTCCTTCCTTCTCATTCTGGAGAAGTGGCCTTATTTATGGCTCGCAGGGACTTGCATAACCCAGAGCCCCACCCATCGGGGGCTCGGCAGGGAGTCGAGGTGAACAAAACCGTGGGCTTTCGGCAGGAACCCCCCCGCCCCCGCCGGCCCCGGCGGCGTCAGCTCAGCTCCCGGCACCCAGGGCGGCCCCGGCCCCACCTGCTCGCGCTGCAGCCGCTCGGGGCTCCGGCGGCGCGGCCGCTCGTCCTCCCTCGGGCTCCCAGGCCGCTCCTTCTCCGGGGTGCTGAGGAGTCTTTCCGCGGCGTCGAGCTTCATCCTCAGCGCTGCGACCTGCGAGGCGGTTCACAGACACTTCACCTCTCGGGAAGCCCTCACCCCCTGGACGGACTCCCGGCCTGGGCGCCGGGGGACGGAAACGCCCGGTCCCGGACTTCCCCAGGAGGGTTCCACCTCCACCGCCCCTAACTTAGATCGGGGTCTTTGCATTGAAAAAGGGGGCTAGGTCAGAGGGGGAAAGCGTACATGCCTTCCCCCAAACAGCCCCCAGCTCTTCTTCCCTCAAGCCGCCCCCACTCCAGGGGGGATAAAGACTTAGGTCACAGCGGGGCCAGGGGTCTCTAGGTTTGTCCTTCTAAACTCTGCAGAAGGCGACGAGCGCCAGGGAGTCGGTGGAACACGCCCACCCCAGAGGAGAAACACACGCGGCTTTTGATTTTGTGATCTGCCGCGCGTGATGCTGCTAGATGCTAATTAGACGTCAGATTGACGACGGTGCGGAGAGAGAATCTTGAGATGGGGGCATCTTCCCAGGTGCGAATTACAGCCACAGCTAACACCGTGGTTCTGCACGCCTGCACGCCCTTCAGAAAAGCAGTTTAAACATTCTTTCTGGGCAGCGTAGATACTGCAAGGCGGCCTGACCGTTGCCTGGTGCCTGCACCTTTTAAATTTGGTATTTCTGGGTATCAAAATGGGGAAGAAAGGAGCAAATGCTGCTCACTTGCGGTCAAGTATCTTCTATTTAAGGGAATTTACTTTCTCTTTTGTCTTTTGAAGATAGAATGATTTTAAATTATTAAAGGAGATTTTCTCCAAAAAGTTCCTTTTTCACTAAAGCAAAAGCTTCTTGACAGCAAATGTACTTTAGAGGAAAGAGGGGAATGCCCCATTTTCCCTTCACACTTTCACTGTTACCACTGTTTATTTCTCTATCTGTGGAAAATAGATTTGCTATTTAATTAAGGAACTGGAGCTACACTTGCAGAAAACACTGTGAACTTTGAACCATCTCTCACATCACATGTAACCTTGTGTGTGTGTGGCTGCTAGTGACAAAGCTGAGGCCAGGGTACTCTGTGAAATCATGACAAATGTGCACCAGAACACTTGAGACGTTGCTACGGGCTATTTTTAGCACCTTTCTTTTAATCAGGCTCAAGACAATTCACTGACACTGATCATTAATCTTCAATACCAAGAGGCCAATAATATACTCAGCACCCTCCCCTCATTTTTCAACAGTTGGCTACCTACAAGTCTCTTTGTAGCAGAAATCAATGAGAGTGTTCACATGCTTGGTTCCACCAGAATTACTGATTTAAAGAAAATACCAAATAGAGAGAGAGTTGCTTACCTTTCTTTCGTATAACTCTTTCATACTTCTAAATTGCTGATCCCATTGCTGGTTAACTTCTAGGAGCTGAAATTATTAAACTTTGGTGAATAAAAAAGAATTTCTGCCCAGCTGGAAATTTGGCCAAAATGAAACTTTTTGACATTCCTGAAATTTTAGAAACCATGAATGAAGATGAGATTCCTTCCTTCAAATTTTGATTGGGTTAAGAAACACTCTCCCTCTCATTGAAATAATCTTTTTTTTTTTTTTTTGAGACAGAGTCTCACTTTGTCGCCCTCAGTAGAGTGCTATGGCATCACAACTCACAGCAACCTCAAACGCTTGGGCTCAAGCAATCCTTTTCCCTCAGCCTCCAGAGTAGCTGGGAACTACAGGCGTCCACCACAATGCTGGCTGTATTTTTAAAGACAGAGGTCTTGCTCTGGCTCAGGCTGGTCTTGAACTCCTGGGCTCAAGCAATCCACCTACTTGCCTTGGCCTACCAGAATGCTGGGATTGCAGATGTGAGTGAACCACTGTGCTTGGCCTTGGAGTCATCTTTTAATAATCAGTTTGTGTGTGAAAAACTTTTAAGTCTTAGATACATCTTGACAAACGAGTTAAATAGCAACTTTTAAGTTTTCTTAGTTATTCAAATTTTCATCTTTTTTGTTTAATTCAATCACAATTTGACATAAATTTGTAGGTAATGGTGGTTTGGGGTAAGATTCATTAATGTATGAAGGGTATTTTCTCAAACTTGTCCATGTTGTTGTCTGTGTTTACACTGATTATTATAATGAAATGTTTCCAACTCTTTGAAAACAGAATTTATATTAACAAATTCTAGACTCCATTAACTCATAGTCATTTGCTTGAAATAATGTGCTTTAAAAGATTAACACACAATTTGTACTATATACTCAACAGATGGATAATATTACTTTTTTTTTTTTTTTTTTTTTTTTTTTTTTTTAGACAGAGTTTCACTGTGTCACCCTTGGTAGAGAGCCAGGGCATCACAGCTCACAGCAATCTCAAACTCTTGGACTTAAGTGATTCTCTTGCCATAGCCTCCCAAGTAGCTGGGACTACAGGTGCCTGCCACAACACTCGGCTATTTTTATTTTTTGGTTGTAATTGTCATTGTTGTTCAGCAGGCTGGGGCTAGATTTGAATGTGCCAGATCCAGTGTATGTGGCTGGTGCCCTAGCCACTGAGCTACAGGCGCTGAGCCAATGTCACCTTTTTTAAAGTATAGATGTTCAAGGAATAACAGTGTTGTCAGAAGACAATATGTAGGAAAATTTTAGGCTGTAAACAATTCCTGGATGTTAAAACTATCTGCTCATTAGAAGGCAGAAAGAACACTGTGATCTGTGGTTTAGCATTTTTGCATGGGAGTTTCACCTTCCCACATTCAGAGAAAAGGCAACACGTATCAGCGTGGAACAGACATTGAGAAGACGTATCACGTAGCTGAAAAACAGGAAGACCTTCTCCTAATTACAAAATGAAATACCTAATCCAGAGTGGCAGTTACAAGGTATGTTTTATGCTGGAAATAGATATGGTTATTTAGTATAAGACTATATCATATTATTATATAAATAGATCTGATCTGTTGGCATTTTTAGAGATTCAGATTTCTATGCCACAGCAATGTTACTCTGCCATAGTTCTGTGATTTTCCAGATGGAAATATTCTATGCAGTATCAAAGATGAATGGAAGGCGTGATAGACGAAACAAAAGATGTAACACATAGAATGGGTCAGAAAATTACAAGTCAACTGTGCTTAAAGTCTTTAACAGTTTGAGTTTCAAGGTGTGTCAAGTTGCAAGGCATAAAGGGCACAGGTGATAAGCTCACACGGTCTATGAGAAGCAAACATCTAAGTTTTGAGAAAATCGGAATTATGATTATCAGATTTATGACTTTGTTATTTTTCAGTCATCACTGCACAAACACAAGGACTGAGTACAAGCTGTGTGGATGAATAAGAAAAAAACATTTTCTCTCAAAATAGTGCTCTCTAGTATCCTAGAGATAAATATTGTGACCTGATAAAAATAAAAAGCACGAGGTAATACACGATTTCATACTCAGCATTAACCCACAACACACGTCGCTTCAAATATACTTCTAAATTACCTCTTTCCTCTGTTTTTCCAAACACTTTATCTTTTGTTCAAGAGAATTTGTCCCATTCTTTCTTCTTGATGATTGAGTGCACTTAAAACAAAGAAAGAAAGAAGATTAAAACCAAACAGTTTACAAAATAAGCAGGAGAAACCCTGTCCTTCACAAACCTCATGCATTTGGCCAACTCTCACATTGTGATGTACAAAAATATCTGATTTTAGCAGTAAAAATCCTCCACTGTAAGTTCTTCATGCTGTGTGTTGATGAATCAGCTTCATATGATATTTTAGACTCTTTTATATGGATTAGTTACCCAAATAATTCTCCAATAAATTATAAATGTATCTATAAACTGTGAAGGGCAAGACAGAGATTATGATCACAAATTTCATGAATGTAGATTTTTTTTTTTTTTGGAGACAGAGTCTCACTTTGTCACCCTTGGTACAGTACTATAGTGTCATAGCTCACAGCAACCTCAAACTCTTGGGCTTAAGTAATTCTCTTGCCTCAGCCTCCCGAGTAGCTGGGACTACAGGCACCTGGCACAACACCTGGCTATTTTTTGGTTGTAGTTGTCATTGTCGTTTGGCAGGCCCGGGCTGGATTAGAACCTGTCAGCTCCGGTGTATGTGGCGGGTGCCCTAGCCACTGTGCTATGGGCGCCTAGCCATGAATGTAGATTTCAATCTTTTTCCAAGAAAATGACAATTAAGAGTATAATGGCTTATAGAAATGAAGTAAGTTTCATGGATATATTTTAAATATTTACTAGATAGTGACTATTAGTAACTATTTCTAAAAAGCCATTTTAATAGCTGTGCCCATGAACATGAATGTAAGATTCTGAAGAGTACCCCTAGCAAAAGTCAGAATAGTAATATGTGGGTCATTACAAAAGTTTTGAAACACATAAAAATCAAGAAACCTAAAATTTGTGCAGACAGAAACAAATGAAGCCCTCCCAGCAACACTGATAAGCTGAGCACGTTGAAACTTCACAGGTGAATCAGAAAACACACTGTTGACTGTGTTCCTTGGAAGTGAAATAATAGACCATAATGTAGTCTGTCTCAAAACTTTCACAACCACCCACATAGAACAATCAAGTATAAAGAACACATACAGCTGAAATGCAGCAAATTGATTCCAAAACTACAATAAGTTAACCACGTCAGTGTCCAATGTGGTGGTTCACACCTATAATCCCAGTACTGGCCTACCAATCCTGGGTCTGTATAATTTCTTTTTTTTAATTAGCAGTGCATGGTGGCACACATCTATAGTCCCAGCTACTCTGGAGGATAAGGCAAGGGGATTACTGAAGCATAAGAGTTCTCAGTTGCAGTGAGCTATGATTGGGCCACTACACTCCAGCCTGACTGATGGAGTGAGAATCTGTCTCTAAAAATATATATATAAAATAATAAAAATAAATAAATAAAATTTAACCTCCCCCCCAAAACGAACAACAAAAACAAAATCTTTAATGACCATGATTATAAGTATGTTGTAAAAGTGGGGATAGAATAATGGCACTGTGTAATTTTAGTCAACTCCTTGACTAAAGCCACTAGATTACAAACTTAGATGGATAACAAATTATTATTATCATGAAAAAGTTAATCCCCTTTCATTTTAGATATTTTTTTCAGGATTAGGAGTATTCATTTAAAGAAAGAACAACAGCTTCAGCAATGGCCATCTGCCTAAATTGACCACCAGCAGAACTGACTTAAATAAAAGACTTGTTCCTGTACTGTAACTCAATAATCCTATTACCATCTCATCTCTGAGTCATGAAAGTGATACAATGAACCGGGTGATGAGAGTAGCCCTTACACCTGCATTCAGTTTCAGGCTCCATAGTTACTATGGATACAAAAGTAATTAAAGGGCGGTGCCTGTGGCTCAAAGGAGTGGAGCGCCAGCCCTATATGCTGGAGGTGGTGGGTTCAAGCCCAGCCCCCGCCAAAAACTACAAAAAAAAATATTCATAAGCAATTAGGAAATGTTTTCAAAACATGTTCATGACCTTTGCCTGAACTGTTTATAGGAAATAACTCTTTTGCAATCATCAGGATTTCAAGGACTTTTTTTATAAGAATTTTTTATAAAATTGTATTTTCTATCTTTGCTTACTCAGGTTTTAGCATTTTAGGATTTGACGATATTTCACATCTGTATAGATGGCGTTTTTCATTTCCTTGAGCTTCCTATTTAGACCTGTGGTATAAGTAAGACTACATTTCAAAAGAGAAAGTTCTCTGTGGGTCAATAAGTTCAGAATGATTGGTTATACTTGCTCTTGACCTTAAGAACCTGGTTTGCCTAAGCACGGGAGAGTGACTCCAAACCCAGGTATCAAGTATGTTAGGCTCTGTCACTGGACCTTCCACTTTTGGGGAAAGACTTCTAAGAAACTGGACCCATTCTGGATTACAAAAGACTAAACATTAAGGGTCTTTAATCTGTAAGATACTGTGAGCCAGTCCTACTTAGTTGTGACCTCAGCTCTGCAAAGCAGAGGTATGGCAAGACTGGATCCTGGGACAGTGGTTCCCACCACAGGGGTGTATCAAAGTCACCATTAGGTGGGCTAGAGGCAAAGCTTCCTGAACAATGGATCAGAATTTCTGGAAGGAGAGCCAGGTCACCTCTATTTTTAATCTATTTCCTAGGTAATCCTGATTCATACTAAAGTTCAAAATCCATCCATTCTAGATCATGATTGGAAGCATGAATTTGGGGTCCTCAAAAAGTCTCCTTTCTGTTTCTGATGTAGATAAAGATTGTTACCAGCGAACATTTATGTGTCCCTGCCTTCTGGGAATCCACGTGCGGAACAATAAGAGACTGTGCTTTTTCAAATTCTTCCCTTCCAAAGTCATTTTCTCTGGAAGAAAAGTATAAAATATTGACCCTTGATTTTTATTTTATGAACCAGAATTACTGAAAAGCTAGTTACTAAATCCATAAAAGAAGCTATTTGTAATGGTAGGACTACAGATTTCTGGAACTCAGAAGTACATTCAATTATAAGTAGGGAAGAGGGGAAAGAGGAAGGATAGAAGGCACAGTGGGTAGGAATGGTTTGTAAACCGTGAATGTATCACCAGGGCTTCCACTGGAAATTGATCAACATTTTGCCCTGGTTCCTATGCCTCAGGTGTGCATTCAAACGAAGCAAAATCAATCAAATACAAAGATTTGGGGGACTTTCCGTTTGTATTTACTTTGTTTTCCAGTTGCTAGTGAAGGTATCTGATTTTTAGTCACTGGCTCTAGGAAGGATCTGTTTACAGAGTGATATTCCCTATAAATCATTCCCTATCATTATTCCCAGAAAAGTGTAATCTGTGTTCAAAGTACCTGGGCATTTATTTCTCTACCATCACAGTAGTACCAGCTTCTAGTATATTCAAGGCCTGACTGCTAGATCAAATACCCAAATCAACAAAAGAGTTCCATTTATTTTAGTGCTGTACCTTGGTTATTTAAAAAACAGAAGAAAGTCCCCAAAACTTCAAGAAAGCACTTTACTTCATTTAATTAGCAAGTAAGTATTGCAGTAATTGAAGAAAAATATATAACAGTTTTACCATAGATAATACGTTCTATTTCTGACCATAGCAATAGTATTGTTTTTAGAGTTCACACTGAATGAAATTCTTGTAAGTCAGGGGCAAAATATGGAACCTATATAGTCAGGACAGGAATAGGCTGAAAGAAATTTAGACACATTTAATCCTCTCTGTTTTGTAAAAGAAAATAATGTAGCTCAGAGAAGTTAAAGGCAATGTATCAGTTTCCCAGATACTTTTTCTATGTTAAACAACATTGATTAAAAATATAAAGCAAATCTTAGCTTAAAAAAAACAAACTAGCTGTTTCTACTCTTATTAATCAATGCACAGTTAACTGCTAGAAATGGTATCCATGCAAGATGTGGTCAATTCATCCTCTAGAAATGTGTTCTTACCTCTTCTGCATGCTCGGTAGAACTTTCTGCAGCACTCATTCTAGATGTGTCCTCTGCAAGATGTGCCATGGAAGCTCTTTTCCCTGGAGTCTTGGAAAGCAGGAAGTAAAACAAGGAAAAATATGTCTCTTACAGTGTCTTTTAGGGTGAGAGCTAACTCATGGCAGAAGATAACAGCAATAACTTTTCATGAAAAATAAACAGAAGTAACTCTGAATATGAATTGCACAGAATAAAGTTAGAGGCACAGCAAGCGTGATTTTAACTTTTGTTCTCTTCCAAATAGGGATTTCCCAGGATGTCTCAAATAGGCAGGCTGTGACTAAGCCCTGGGGCAGATCAGCCTCGCTATGGTATGTAAATTGCCATTCTTCCTTTACTGGTAGTTTCTCCCACTGGAGGAGGAAGTTCACCACCCCAGAAAGCCTGGGCAATCCAACTGTTTCTTCAGTAGTCTAACTGTTACAAATTCATTATATTTCCCAGAGCAATTAGGTAACTGTTGACTTTTTGACAGCTCGCTTACTTGTTTCCCTCAAGGTAAGATTTTCTGGCAATGCTTTCTAAATGGGAGTTTAGATTTGTAGAATTTAATGAGTCATACATAATTCTGTAAGTGCTCCTCCTTCTTACAGACCTAAAAGAGAAAATAATTTATTGCACAGAAAAATGGGCGTTGTTTGTGAATCTAATCCATACAGCAGAAAGGTTAAACTTGGTTCTCAAGTTTAAGACTATCTTTTCTGTAGGTCAAGTTGAGATTTTCTCCACCACACATCTGAAGTGAAAAAAATTTTTTTTCTTTTTGCACTAACATTTTAGCTTTAATTAGCTGACTCTCACTCAGAGGAGGACCATAACAGGTGTACAGGTAAAAAACATGGAAATGACAGATACTTGGAGGTGCACAAATTAACCAGGACGGAGTGGAAGACGTCACTCTAAACCTGGAGGAAAGAGAACAAATAAAGAGGCAAAGAATACAAAAATGGAAAGAACTTGTTGCTGAAAAGAGTAAAAAAAGAATTTATATGGCTTGGCACCTGTCGCTCAGCAGCTAGGGCGCCAGCCATGGACATGGGGGTTGGTGGGTTCAAACCCCGGGGCCTGCCAAACAACAATGACAACTGCAACCAAAAAATAGCTGGGCATTGTGGTGGGTGCCTGTAGTCCCAGCTACTTGGGAGGCTCTTGCAAGAAAATCTTTTAATTCCAAGAGTTTGAGGTTGCTGTGAGCTGTGACACTACAGAACTCTACCGAGGGTGCAATAATGAGACTCTGTCTCAAAAAAAAAAAAAAAAAAAAAGAATTTACAGTTCATCACTCAAGTTTTTCACTAGTCTTGCCTACAAAATATTCATACATAGGAGGAAGCCTAGAACTCCTAAAATTTAAACCCTTTAAAAAAGAACCATTCGTGGAGTATCCAAGATTTGGCCCTGTCTTTACCCTTAACATCTCTTCCCACTTTCTAACTCTCCCCTGCACTCCAGCCATGCTGATTTACCTCTGTTTCCTGAACTGAGTCATGCTGTTCTATACCCTCGCCTCCTTCAGTACCCTCTTCCTGGACTCTCCCTCCAAAATCTAGTTAATGCCTCTTTTGCCCTCTGACCTCCTCTTGACCTCCTGTAACAAGCCCCAGAGAGCACTTCACTAAGTAGTAAAATCTTATATTTATATGTTTCTGCATTCTTTTCTGCATCCACAGTACTTTGGCAGTGAGCTGCTTGGCACACAGTAGGTGTTCAACATGTTTTGCTCACTGAATAAATGAATGACTACCTAAGTAACTGTACACACAACTTGTGGTTTCTTGGTCTGTTTCAGGGGTACACTTGAGTGAAAGGGAGTGACGTTGCCATAAGGCAGTATTCAAAAATACAGGTGGGAATCAAATAATTTGGAATTCTAAAAACGAAGTTATAATTCACATAAGGGTCTGACTTTCCGAGATAGAAGCAGAGATTTCCTGCAGACTTTATCAACACTAAATAAAGTGACACTTGATCAGCACTAAAATCTGATCATTAGAAAAGAAAAAAAAGCTAATGTAAAAATATTTTTCTTCTGAAACGTAAATGCACACATGTATACTGTAGTTTAAGTTTAATGTTTAAGTACTTCAGCTTGATCTTTGTACTTGGTCATAATAAGCCAGTGGATGGGGTAATATTGACCTAGAACAGTGGTTTGAACGAACATTTTCATCCCAGGAAACAGGATCCTTGGCATTGTTGTCCTTGGGTCTCCCTGGCAAAGGTGTTCTGATGCATACACATTGTTAGGGGTGACGACTTCTATTAAATGGAAATCCCATACCTTTTCATTGTTCATTAAAATAACCATGCCCCTTCTGCTATGTAGATAAATAACAAATAGATTTTCTATTAGCTCAGAGAGCTATATAGTTATTCATGAATAAATAGTAACCCTTTTGAAGAACCCCAAGTTTGGTTTGAGAAAAATGAAGCTTTCAGTGGGCCAGCCCTAGGAATGAACTGGGTATTCTGTTACGCATGCTCTATTCACCTCACCTCCACCCCTCTCATGTTTGCCAGGTATTGTAAGAGTCTGGCTTTTAGTCAAGCTTTGTTTCATGAGAAGTTTCTCTAGCTGAAATAACTTTCCGAGAAACAGAGGTTTCCTTCCAGGTCTCTAAAGCTATTGTGAAGAGTCCTCTTTTTTTGAGGTAACTAAAATGCTATATATAGAGAACAAAGAATCAAAAAGAGAAATATGGTGAAAGAAAGGAAAAAGGAACTGTCAGTCACCGGTCATGAGAGAGGATACCTGAGAAGGGTGAGGTCTAGGAGAACAGGTCTTCTCAAGGAGACCACAAGGATACACCTGCAGGGTCCTCTCCCTGGTGACTCAGCTCTTGGGAATATGTAAACTTAACTTCTTGGAACTTGGAAATTTCCAAGTTCTGTGAAATCCTGTAGTTCTGTAGGGGCTGGACTAGCATCTCCTGCTTGATTCAAACTGGCCAATAAGAAGGGTACCTGTGGGGTGGAACTTTACAAGGGAAAGACCAAGCCAGTCAGGAGCGTGGCCATTTGGAATTCTTCTACGCAGTAAGTTCCTGGTTGGTGAATAAAGCCCTTCCTCTTATAAACGTGGGGTTTGGGTGCTTTTTCTCTCCATCGGGCCTCATCTTCCTGCAACAGTCATAGTTGGCGTCATTCTACCTGAAAATAATTCTCTCAAAATTAGTTCAAGAGGAGCACGCCACATCCCTATAAATTCTTGGAAGCATTCTTTGGTAGGTAAAATAAACATGGATGTGTCTTTAGGCGGGGTGTGGTGACTCACATCTGTAATCCTAATACTTTGGTAGACCAAGGTGGGAGTATCAATTGAAGCCGGGAGCTCAAGACAGGCCTGAGCAATATAGTGAGATCCCATCTGTACAAAAAATTTTCATTTTTAGGTGAATATTTCACCCTTTCCTGTTTTGCTTATGTGATTGATATTATTTAGCCTCCACACAAAATTTCCTTTAAAATGTTTCTCTTTATCTTGATGAATATTTAATAAACAATATAAATATTATACAACTAGGGAGAGAATTGAAAAGGCATAACCTCAATATTACACTTGCTCAGTGCTATATGTAGAACATACTGTGAGATAAATAAATATCTTGAAGTATTAAGTGGTGACTCCCCCCCAACACATATTGCTCTTTATTTTATGTAACTAGTCCTTTCTTTGTTCCATAAGAGATGTCTTTTGCCTCACGACTGATTAAGTTTATCACAAGTTTCCTGTTTTTAGGGGAAAACAACCCTGTTAGGCCTATGAATTACAAAATCGAGTCTCCAAACTCTAGAGACCATCTTAACAATCAAACCTTTGAACCGCAAGAGCTACTGTTTTCCAAGCAATTTTAAAAACGTGAAAAGTTAATTTCTTTTGTGCAATTTATCTTGAAATGTATTAAAAAGCAACGAGTGTTGATGGATGGAAAGCGGGGTGGACAGACAGACAGCTATGTACTAAATAAGCAGAGTAAAATGTGAACAGCAGAATTTAGAGGATGGGCATATGGGCGTATACTGCGAAATCTTTACATTGCTTTACATTTGAAGTTTTAATATAATATAAAATATTAGGGGAAAAGCCTGAAGTAAGGATAAAAACTTATCCCATGAACAATTGATAGAAAGAAAGGGTGGGAAGAGCCAATGTAAACCATCCTTACCATTGCCACCATCTGCCCCACTAGAGTAGGTGAAGGTTTCATGGTCTGGGGAAAATTTTTAAAAGGGTGGGGTGAGGAGGAAAGAGTTCTACTTGAATGTTGCTCAATCCTCTTGAGGAAACTCAGGGTACGCCCCTGCTTCTGGGGACTCATCCATCATCAGTCAACTTGCCCAGATTGTCAACCTTTCTCCTGGGTTAAGTCCAGGGAAGCTGCAAGACTCGAAGAGTATTTCCCCTCACCAGCATGATGCACAGCTCTGAGGCGGCCTTGTGACATGTCTAGGTAGAAAGACTCAGAGACATTTCAACCCCCAGAATGGTATGGAAGCAGATTCAGCAATTTCCTACGTTCCTGGGAAGGATCCAAAAGGGGTTAACACACTTGATGGATTTAAGGAGGCCTCAGCATCAGAGTGAAGACAATGTAGCATTAACCACATGGACCCAAGGCCAGGAGATGTGCTAAATGACCTGGAAGCTTAAGTGATTGCTACTGAGAATAGAGACCAAGGAAAAGACGACCAGGGGTAGATTGCATCCATGCCACAGCAGTGTCACGTGGTAGATTGCTGAATCCACACTGAAGTTGCCAGAGAAATCCGAGATGGCCAGATAATTTTTGGTTTTTTTGAATAGGTATGTCCTGTGCAATATTCTGTGTTCTGAAATTCAAACTTAAGTGAGCATTCTGTGTTTTTATTTGCTATGCTTGGCAACCTATTTGACCCAAATTACTTCACAAGATCTGCTCCTCAAACCATTATGTACTACATACCAGGAGGGGAAAGGCGAGGTGAGAATTCCTGTGCATGCATGTACAGAAAATATAAATTGCCTAGAAAACACTGACGTGACAGACATTTTCTCCAATTAGCTAGGT